CGTGGGAAGTCTAAATTTAGAACTTACTTTTTTTTTCTTAGAACAAAACTGAAGTCATAAACACATAGGAGTGGTAATGAAGTTGTAATGTTTGAAACAATCACAGGGGAAAAAACAAGACTGATAAACGGCTATGTAGTTTAAACATTGTTGAAATCTATTTTAAATGTGGTTCATATCTGGTTCAAATCTGGTTCAAATCTAGTTCACATCCAGTACAAATCAATAACCGTACCAGCTGTCGCGGGTTAAGCTTAGAGTTACACAGCCGTGGCACCTTGTGATTGCATTTTGTTTACTGTAACTCGACACTCCATAGAGGGGACTCAATTTTTGATGGGGTTTTCTAATTGAAAAAATACTCGAGTTGTTGTTTTTATCTAGGTGGCGTTGTCGTTTGCGTGAACTAGGTCACGCATGTCACGTGGTTGGTGATTGGCAAGCGGAGTACACCCGGATTGGTTAATTAAAGGAGAGTAATTAGGACCGTTATCGTGTCGTGATGTTTGATTAGGGCGCGGCATGTCACGTGGGATCTGTCGCTGCTCACTCGGTGTTTGGGTGCACGTGCAAGACAGGTGAGAAGAGGCGTAGGTTGGGGGGGGGGGGAGGGGACCGGGCCTCTGAGACCATTTCAGGACATGGACACCTTTTCTTGGAAATGTAAACAACGAAACAATAATTACAATCAGCTATTAGAAGTTGGTAATGAAGGTTAATGAAGGCGTCCGTTTTGAGGTCAATGACGTTTGACAAAAAAAAAAACTGGCTACGACATGGTTGACTGAACTTTAGACTTGACCTGCTGTTGGACAGAAAAGTTGAGAGGTTTTTTTAATATGCCTGGATTGGAGGAATCACAAGAACAACATCATATACAACGGTAGTCTCCTAATGAACATGTTCACCATATATGCGTTCTCTGAGTGATGTGTTTTTGGGGCTAGAGTCGAGATCATGGTTGTTGATAGAAGATTTGAGTGGGTCATACAGTCCCAGCCGTTGTGATGGGGTTAAAGCCATCCAGTTCTGTCTTTAAATAATTATCTCAGTAAAACGGCTTCACAAAGCACTTCAGCGAAAGAAGAACCAGCGAAACCTATTTAAAATGTTTCTCAGCCAGCTACTCTGTAGAGATTGTTTAAACCTCATACCCCCCCCCCCCCCAGTCCTGCTATCTAGTACTGACATGAGATGGTATTTGATTTTAACCCAGAATGTTCAATTCCGTCGCCCACGTTTTTAAACCATCTGATTCGGTTTAAATATATAAACGTCTACATTTTCTAAATCAGTCTTTGAGTTTTTGATACCAAAAAATATTTAAATCTAGCTAAATCTAGTTAAATCTAGCACTTTAACTAGTGCCACAAGATTTCAGCACAGAGTTCCAATTTCTCAAGCCTGTGTATGTAATCAGTAACGGTGTTGTACAAATAGGAGACCAAAGTATAAGCAAATACCAGCACGACCAAAAACATGTCTTTCACACTTGGCTTGACAACCTCTAGGTAAAAATATTTTCTTTCATTTCTCTAGCACCGCCCTCTGCCGATTTCTGTAGCCCGTGACGACACTACGCCCCTATAGAAAACCTCCAGCCGTATGTCATGTAACACGATCGTTGGCTAACAAAAAATAAAACACGGCACGGAACAGCTCGGCTATTCACTGATTCAATTTATAGAGAGAAATCTTTGGAGCCAACTCTATTACTTCCCTTTGTTTGGGAGCTGCGTATTCAAACCTTTCATAAATGGTAAGCCTACACACTTATTTTTGGAGTTAGTTTTGGGTGCTATGATAATCTAAGTGAAACTAGCTGAACATGAACATAGCAATCACTTGAAGTTGAACAGTTGTTCACAATTTATAAAGATATAGGAATACGATAGACAATTTCCTCTTCATTTTAGATTTAACAAATATATTAAAACTTACACTTTGATCACAATCATTCACTGACCACAATCATTCACTGACCACATTCATTCAATAACCACATTCATTCACTGGCCACATTCATCCACTGACCACATTCATTTACTGACCACATTTAATTATTGACCACAATCATTCACTGACCACATTCATTCACTGACCACATTCATTTATTGACCACATTCATTTATTGATCACAATCATTCACTGACCACATTCATTCACTGACCACATTCATTCACTGACCACATTCATTCACTGACCACATTCATTCACTGACCACATTCATTCACTAACCACATTCATTCACTGACCACATTCATTCACTGACCACACACTGATCACATTCATTCACTGACCACATTCATTTACTGACCACATTCATTTACTGACCACATTCATTTATTGATCACAATCATTCACTGACCACATTCATTCACTGACCACATTCATTTACTGACCACATTCATTTATTGATCACAATCATTCACTGACCACATTCATTCACTGACCACATTCATTTATTGACCACATTCATTTATTGATCACAATCATTCACTGACCACATTCATTCACTGACCACATTCATCCACTGACCACATTCATTTACTGACCACATTTAATTATTGACCACAATCATTCACTGACCACATTCATTCACTGACCACATTCATTTATTGACCACATTCATTTATTGATCACAATCATTCACTGACCACATTCATTCACTGACCACATTCATTCACTGACCACATTCATTCACTGACCACATTCATTCACTGACCACATTCATTCACTAACCACATTCATTCACTGACCACATTCATTCACTGACCACACACTGATCACATTCATTCACTGACCACATTCATTTACTGACCACATTCATTTACTGACCACATTCATTCACTGACCACATTCATTTACTGACCACATTCATTTATTGATCACAATCATTCACTGACCACATTCATTCACTGACCACATTCATTTATTGACCACATTCATTTATTGATCACAATCATTCACTGACCACATTCATTCACTGACCACATTCATTCACTGACCACATTCATTCACTGACCACATTCATTCACTGACCACATTCATTCACTGACCACATTCATTCACTGACCACATTCAATTATTAACCACATTCATTCACTAACCACATTCATTCACTGACCACATATATTCACTGACCACATTCATTCACTGACCACATTCATTCACTAACCACATTCATTCACTAACCACATTCATTCACTGACCACATTCATTCACTGACCACATTCATTCACTGACCACAGCCATTTACTGACCACATTCATTCACTGACCACATTCATTCACTGACCACATTCATTCACTTACCACATTCATTCACTGACCACATTCAATTATTAACCACATTCATTCACTGACCACATTCAATTATTGACCACATTCATTCACTGACCACATTCAATTAGTGACCACATTCATTCACTGACCACATTCATTCACTGACCACATTCATTCACTGACCACATTCATTCACTAACCACATTCATTCACTGACCACATTCATTCATTGACCACATTCATTCACTAACCACATTCATTCACTAACCACATTCATTCACTGACCACATTCATTCACTGACCACAATCATTTACTGACCACATTTAATTATTGACCACAATCATTCACTGACCACATTCATTCACTGACCACATTTATTCACTGACCACAATCATTCACTGACCACATTCATTCACTGACCACAATCATTCACTGACCACATTGAATTATTGACCACAATCATTCACTGACCACATTCATTCACTGACCACATTCATTCACTAACTACATTCATTCACTGACCACATTCATTCACTGACCACATTCATTCACTAACCACATTCATTCACTAACCACATTCATTCACTGACCACATTCATTCACTGATCACATTCAATTATTGACCACATTCATTCACTGACCACATTCATTCACTGACCACATTTATTCACTGACCACATTCATTCACTAACCACATTCATTCACTAACCACATTCATTCACTGACCACATTCATTCACTGACCACATTCATTCACTGACCACATTCAATTATTGACCACAATCATTCACTGACCACATTCATTCACTAACCACATTCATTCACTAACCACGTTCATTCACTGACCACATTCATTCACTGACCACAATCATTTACTGACCACATTTAATTATTGACCACAATCATTCACTGACCACATTCATTCACTGACCACATTTATTCACTGACCACAATCATTCACTGACCACATTCATTCACTGACTACAATCATTCACTGACCACATTCAATTATTGACCACAATCATTCACTGACCACATTCATTCACTGACCACAATAATTCACTGACCACATTCAATTATTGACCACAATCATTCACTGACTACATTCATTCACTGACCACATTCATTCACTGACCACAATAATTCACTGACCACATTCAATTATTGACCACAATCATTCACTGACTACATTCATTCACTGACCACATTCATTCACTGACCACATTCATTCACTGACCACATTCAATTATTGACCACAATCATTCACTGACCACATTCATTCACTGACCACATTCATTCACTGACCACATTCAATTATTGACCACAATCATTCATATACCACATTTATTCAATGTCCACATTCCTTCACTGATTACAACCTCTCTCCCCCCCCTCCCTTTCAACTGACCCTAGCCCTCTACATTTTGGCTTTCGGACCCCTATCGATAGAAAATCAATCGACCATATAATCGATTGATCGATTAGATCTAACCTTGCTGGAATAGATTTGTCCAACCCCCCCCCCCCCCCACCCCTCCCTAAAAAAACAAACCTTATCCCCGCTACTATCTCTAGCAGTTCTTATCAGAGATCGACATGAACGGCTGCGTTGGGTGGGTGTGGAGAGGGGGGCGGGGGCGGGGGCTACCATAACCAGGACAGGCTCGACCTGTTAGCTGTGACATCACGTGGTCGCCTCTAGAGCCTGTCAGTCAGTCAGTCGGGGACTTCACAGACCAGGTGTACCGCGCTGTAAAGCTACCCGGTCGGGCTGATCGTCGCAGGATTTGATCAATCACTAATGTGACAATTCATAGTCAGGATTTGATAAATCACTAATGTGACAATTCACAGACAGGATTTTGTAAATCACTAATGTGACAATTCATAGTTAGGATTTTATAAATCACTAATGTGACAATTCATAGTCAGGATTTGATAAATCACTAATGTGACAATTCATAGTCAGGATTTGATAAATCACTAATGTGACAATTCATAGTCAGGATTTTGTAAATCACTAATGTGACAATTTTTAGTCAGGATTTTGTAAATCACTAATTAGACAATTCATAGTGAGGATTTTGTAAATCACTAATGTGACAATTCACAGTCAGGATTTTAACGAATCACTAATTTGACAATTCATAGTCAGGATTTTATAATAAATCACTAATGTGACAATTTATAGTCAGGATTTTATAACTTACTATCGTGACGATTTATCATCAAGGTTTTAAATATCATTAACATAAAAAAAAAATTTCAAATGATTTCTTAGCTATTAGCACGGCACATATGTCTGATTCAACAACCAAAACAAAGAAGTAAATCTTTAATGTGTAAGTTCAACATGTGTTTAATGTGTAAGTTCAACATGTGTTTAATGTGTTAGTTCAACATGTGTTTAATGTGTTAGTTCAACATGTGTTTAATGTGTTAGTTCAACATGTGTTTAATGTGTTAGTTCACAACATGTGTTTAATGTGTATTTTCATCAGGATTGGTTACCATTCAAGAATTCCGTAAAGGAATAGCAGCAAGGATATTCTACAGTCACTTTATCATGTAAAGCGAGGTCAGTATTTCAATTACTGAATTTACATTTCTTATCTCATTCACAGAATTTAAGGGGAGACTAGTATTTATTTCCATACACATGTATTCATGTCTTGTAAGGGGAGATTAACATTATGCTATCTATAAAACCACTAAACAAAACATTGTCTTACACACTAGTTGTTTAGTTTTAAACGACTTCTTTTGAAATATCTTTAGGTTCTAAATTTAGCATTACTAGGTTTGGGTAAAAACCTACGTTGTCCTACATAAGATTAGATCGTGTACAGCACGTTAAGACTAGTGACTAGAGACCATGAAGGGAGTGCCGTATCTATTGCTATGGGACGGCGACAGTTTTTGTCCGTTTGGAATTGTTTAAAATAGGGCAACAAAAACATGCGGACTTCTGCGAAGACAGTAGCGATGTTCGGTACTGTACTTCGTGTTGCTATCACAATCTACTGGATGTGTTTATTATGTGATACAGGCGCCACTTTATGAGGCAAATTAAGAGGGGAGGGGGGCATGAGCAGTGTTTCTTTCAGACTTTTTTATACAGGGGGGGAGGGCACATAAAATTATTTTGTGGGGGAGGGGTGGGGGCGGAAAATGGTAAAAGTATATATTTTCTATATAAATTATATTTCGTTCGGGGGGGGGGGTAGACTGCCCCCCCCCCTCTGCCTCTGAAGAGATGCCTGAACGTGAGTATCGAGATTTTGAAATATCCAGGTCGTTATAAAGTGGGGCGGTTATTGGGATGTTTGCTTTATAATATAGACCTGTCATATCTGTCACATCTGTCACATCTGTCAGGTCTGTCAGGTCTGTCAGGTCTGTCACATCTATAACATCTGTCACATTTGTCAGGTCCGTCATATTTATAACATCTGTCAGGTCTGTCATATCTGTAACATCTGTCAGGTCTGTCATATCTGTCAGGTCTGTCACATCTGTCAGGTCTGTCATATCTATAACATCTGTCACATTTGTCAGGTCTGTCTCATCTGTCAGGTCTGTCATATCTATAACATCTGTCACATTTGTCACATTTGTCATATCTGTCAGGTCTGTCATATCTATAACATCTGTCACATTTGTCAGGTCTGTCTCATCTGTCAGGTCTGTCATATCTATAACATCTGTCACATCTGTCACATCTGTCATATCTGTCAGGTCTGTCATATCTATAACATCTGTCACATGTGTCACATCTGTCACATCTGTCATATCTGTCAGGTCTGTCATATCTATAACATCTGTCACATTTGTCACATTTGTCACATTTGTCATATCTGTCAGGTCTGTCATATCTGTCAGGTCTGTCATATCTATAACATCTGTCCGGTCTGTCAGGTCTGTCATATCTGTCAGGTCTGTCATATCTGTCAGGTCTGTCATATCTGTCAGGTCTGTCATATCTATAACATCTGTCAGGTCTGTCACATCTGTCAGGTCTGTCATATCTATCTGTCACATTTGTCACACGGCAATGTTCTCTAATCAATTGTACAGTTCTTAATTTTAGATATCGAGGTACCATCACATGATTTTACATTACTAGATACGAACATTAACTGATGCACCATCACTTGATGTAACATTACACGATGTAATATTACACCACGTAACACACGATGTCAATCCACCACTTAATATGAAACACCGTGACATCTAGAATATTCTAGAATGTCTTGACATGTCCGTGAAATCAGATTTAGCTTCGTGACGTTTTGACTCGTGGGGGGGGGGGGGGGGGTAACTAGCTGGGACATCTTTTTAAAACAAATGTGACTTTATGGGTTGTAGGGGATATGTGGTGATTTTATGGGTTGTAGGGGCGATGTGGTGACTTTATGGGTTGTAGGGGCTATGTGGTGACTTTATGGGTTGTAGGGGCTATGTGGTGACTTTATGGGTTGTAGGGGCTATGTGGTGACTTTATGGGTTGTAGGGGATATGTGGTGATTTTATGGGTTGTAGGGGCGACGTGGTGACTTTATGGGTTGTAGGGGCTATGTGGTGATTTTATGGGTTGTAGGGGCGATGTGGTAGGGGCGATGTGGTGACTTTATGGGTTGTAGGGGCGACGTGGTGACTTTATGGGTTGTAGGGGCTATGTGGTGATTTTATGGGTTGTAGGGGCGATGTGGTAGGGGCGATGTGGTGACTTTATGGGTTGTAGGGGCGACGTGGTGACTTTATGGGTTGTAGGGGCGAAGTGGTGACTTTATGGGTTGTAGGGGCGATGTGATGACTTTATGGGTTGTAGGGGCTATGTGGTGACTTTATGGGTTGTAGGGGCTATGTGGTGACTTTATGGGTTGTAGGGGCTATGTGGTGACTTTATGGGTTGTAGGGGCTATGTGGTGACTTTATGGGTTGTAGGGGCTATGTGGTGACTTTATGTGTTGTACGGCCTACGTGGTGACTTTATGGGTTGTAGGGGCTATGTGGTGACTTTATGGGTTGTAGGGGCGATGTGGTGACTTTATGGGTTGTAGGGGCTATGTGGTGACTTTATGGGTTGTAGGGGCTATGTGGTGACTTTATGGGTTGTAGGGGCTATGTGGTGACTTTATGGGTTGTAGGGGCTATGTGGTGACTTTATGGGTTGTAGGGGCTATGTGGTGACTTTATGGGTTGTAGGGGCTATGTGGTGACTTTATGGGTTGTAAGGGCTATGTGGTGACTTTATGGGTTGTAGGGGCTAAGTGGTGACTTATGTTGGGTCTAAGTGGTGACTTTATGGGTTGTAGGGGCTATGTGGTGACTTATGTTGGGTCTAAGTGGTGACTTTATGGGTTGTAGGGGCTACGTTGTGACTTATGTTGGGTCTAAGTGGTGACTTTATGGGTTGTAGGGGATATGTGGTGACTTATGTTGGGTCTAAGTGGTGACTTTATGGGTTGTAGGGGCTACGTTGTGACTTATGTTGGGTCTAAGTGGTGACTTTATGGGTTGTAGGGGCTAAGTGGTGACTTATGTTGGGTCTAAGTGGTGACTTTATGGGTTGTAGGGGATATGTGGTGACTTATGTTGGGTCTAAGTGGTGACTTTATGGGTTGTAGGGGCTACGTTGTGACTTATGTTGGGTCTAAGTGGTGACTTTATGGGTTGTAGGGGCTAAGTGGTGACTTATGTTGGGTCTAAGTGGTGACTTTATGGGTTGTAGGACCTAAGTGGTGACTTTATGGATTGTAGGACCTAAGTGGTGACTTTATGGATTGTAGGGCCTGTGGTGACTATATATTGGGTCGTAGGGCCTAAGTGGTGACTTTGTATTGGCTTGTAGGGCATAAGTAGTGACTTTGTATTGGGTTCTAGGGCCTAAGTGGTGAATTTTATTGGGTTCTAGGGCCTAAGTGGTTACTTTGTATTGGCTTGTAGGGCCTAAGTGGTGACTTTGTATTGGCTTGTAGGGCCTAAGTGGTGACTTTGTATTGGGTTCTAGGGCCTAAGTGGTGACTTTATAGGTTGTAGGGCCAACGTGGTGACTTTGTACTGAAATATTTTTTGACTGAAGCTTACCCTGAAAGTTAGGGTAACTGATGCCTGACCCGAATGTTAAAAGTCTAAAGCTTATATTAAAGTCTCTTAAAGCTTAACCTAGTATAAGTTAGAGTTTAACTGAAGCCTGGCGTTTAACTTTATTAAGAGTGCCACGCGAGTTCAGTCTCACATGAGTATCAACATCAAGATCTCTCGCTCAAGTCTCACTCAACCCATTCAAACATCACTCACTCCACTCAAATATCACTCACTCCACTCAAATATCACTCACTCCACTCAAACATCACTCACTCCACTCAAACATCACTCACTCCACTCAGACATCACTCACTCCACTCAAACATCACTCACTCCACTCAAACATCACTCACTCCACTCAAACATCACTCACTCCACTCAAATATCACTCACTCCACTCAAACATCACTCACTCCACTCAAACATCACTCACTCCACTCAAACATCACTCACTCCACCCAAACATCACTCACTCCACTCAAATATCACTCACTCCACTCAAATATCACTCACTCCACTCAAACATCACTCACTCCACTCAGACATCACTCACTCCACCCAAACATCACTTACTTCACTCAAATATCACTCACTCCACTCAAACATCACTCACTCCACTCAAACATCACTCACTCCACTCAAACATCACTCACTCCACTCAGACATCACTCACTCCACTCAAACATCACTCACTCCACTCAAACATCACTCACTCCACTCAAACATCACTCACTCCTCAAACATCACTCACTCCACTCAGACATCACTCACTCCACTCAAACATCACTCACTCCACTCAAACATCACTCACTCCTCAAACATCACTCACTCCACTCAAACATCACTCACTCCACTCAAACATCACTCACTCCACTCAAACATCACTCACTCCACTCAAACATCACTCACTCCACTCAAATATCACTCACTCCACTCAAATATCACTCACTCCACTCAAACATCACTCACTCCACTCAAACATCACTCACTCCACTCAGACATCACTCACTCCACTCAAACATCACTCACTCCACTCAAACATCACTCACTCCACTCAAATATCACTCACTCCACTCAAATATCACTCACTCCACTCAAACATCACTCACTCCACTCAAACATCACTCACTCCACTCAGACATCACTCACTCCACTCAAACATCACTCACTCCACTCAAACATCACTCACTCCACTCAAACATCACTCACTCCACTCAAATATCACTCACTCCACTCAAATATCACTCACTCCACTCAAACATCACTCACTCCACTCAGACATCACTCACTCCACCCAAACATCACTTACTCCACTCAAATATCACTCACTCCACTCAAACATCACTCACTCCACTCAAACATCACTCACTCCACTCAGACATCACTCACTCCACTCAAACATCACTCACTCCACTCAAATATCACTCACTCCACTCAAACATCACTCACTCCACTCAAACATCACTCACTCCACTCAAACATCACTCACTCCACTCAGACATCACTCACTCCACTCAGACATCACTCACTCCACTCAAACATCACTCACTCCACTCAAACATCACTCACTCCACTCAGATATCACTCACTCCACTCAAATATCACTCACTCCACTCAAACATCACTCACTCCACTCAGACATCACTCACTCCACTCTAGTCTCACTCAAATCCCACTATACTCCTACTCGCCCAAATCGCGTTTTACTTAAATTTCCACTCAAATCTATCTCTTCCCATTCAAATCCCACTGTAAAATCTCTATTCTCACTTTTAAATATTTACGTCAATTCACCGAAAACCTGCTACCAAATATTTTTTTGCCCCGCACTACCACTGTGTTATTTTATTGACATAAAGAATTATAAATTGATCACAATCAATCAGTGGCTTAATCCATTCACCACATTCTCTAGTGACTGTCTATTCATGAAAGCCTAAATCATCACCATAACATCTGTGGTGTATCAGATCAGCCGATGGCCCGTGGTCTTTATAAGACTTGGGGTCCTTATCCCAGGAAAGTACGCAACTTTTTTGGGTATATATATATATATATATATATATATATATATATATATATATATATATATATATATATATATATATATATATATATATATATATATATTAAATAACATCGAGAGTTGAGAATCCTTCCATCATTATTGTTGACATGGATAACAATCGGGGTTTTTATTTAGATTTTGTAATCAAAGCGGCCTTAAAAATATTTTTTGAAAAAATAACTTAAGCCTGATAATAATTTTGAATTTTTTTGTTTTTAGAATGAAATTTAGAAAAGTTGTAAATAATTTTTTAGCTTCAGGCTACATTTCTTCTCATTTTCATCAAACCTAAGTTATAAACTGAGGTTTCACTTTGCTTAAGACAAACATTGATTGGCTGTAGGCCTACAGGAACTCAGTGATCAATTTTCTGAAAACCCCACTTCATAGTAATTTGTTCTCAAAACTTTGCCGACTGAATTTTTAAACAATTTTTTTAAACCACATGACATAGTTCTGCCATTTTTGTGATTAAAGTGTCAACAGAAATTTTGTTTAATTTAATTTTTTTTTTTATTTCTTTTAAATTTTGTTTAGTTACCAAATACTCAAAACATAAAATACATCAAATCCTTAGTAAGGTCCAACAAAAAAATCAGTCAGAGTTTTATAAACATATTTATTATAAAAACATAGTATTTGATTTTAAATATTAAATGGGCCTTTAGAATAATTTTGAGGCTGTTCTTGGTTGTACCCATTACATATTTAAAAAAATTTATAACAAAATATACTTTTAATATACTATATAAAATAGCTGTGTGCAATTTATTGTATAAAATACTTCTGTATCCCTCAGAAGTTATTATTACTTAAACCGAGACGCAAATGTATTGAAACTAAATTGGTATAGAAACGCACTAAGCACACTTCTATTCAAATTGATAGGACTCGGCGTTGTCACTGGGAATTATCAAGAGGGTCTAGTTTCGATTTAGAACTTTTTAGAAGTTTTATTTTGTTCATACTGACAGGGGCCTGTTGTGTTCTCAAAAGGTTTTGTTTGACAACATGTGGGCTGGATCAAAGTACAGGACACACCTCCTTCCAATACATGGAGTTTTTTTTTAAATTTAATAACAATTTTTTAATGTAATAATGCACTAAAAAAGGAGAAAATAAATGTTTTTGTTTAAATATATAATCATACACTATTATTAAAAAATTAAATAACTTTAAAGAAAAGCGTGGGCCACTATCTATATATATAATTCTCTTCTGGGAGACGCTAGAAAACAAGCTGCAAGCGCCTCCTTGCAGTCCCCTCTCTTTCTCTTTCTCCCTATCACTATCACTACCACCCCCACCCCACATGGTCTGGTGAGCTGTGGTCACGCTAAATGTTTACAAATCGTAGAGCCGGGTTTAGTGACGGCTATAAGGGGCAGATAATTTAGTTTAAAACGATTTTAAACTTACAGGAGGTAACTAAGAGGAGGCTGCTTACACGGGGGGGGGGGGGGGGGGGGGTAGGGTCGGGGTTAAGGGAAAGGGGGGGGTAGTGTTTTAAAGCAAATATTTTCAGTGGCAGCATTGGTACTGTCGAATTCACAAATTATGAATTACTGAAAAGTAGAAAATAAAACAACTAAATAGCGGCGTATGATACGCCGCGGGTCGGCTCGTATTATCTATTTGATATTGATTGTGTGTGGTTGTCGGGCATTGTGTGTGGTGGGGTGGGCAGGTGTGTCAAAAACATTACGGAAAATGCGTCACACAGCATTATTTGATGATTTTTTTGGACCGCGACTTGAATACACATGGTAGTAATTTAAACCGTAACGTGGCTTATCTTCTTATCTGTCAGACTGATGAGCTGTAGTACGACATAGTCTTTCCTATCAACACAACAAAAATTATATTGACGACACATTTGTTGTCTAAATAGCGCTATACTATAACATCGGCCATAAGTATCAACATATTTCTGTTTTCAGTACCCCTGAAGTTGCATGTGTTCCCTATGGCTGCACATCTGTTTCCGGTCATCTTCATACTGGTGACGGTGTACCACTGCGCATGCGTCAACTCTGCTCTAGCAGACGGCGGTGTAGCAGACGAAGATCGAAAACGAGGCAAGAACAATCTCAGCAACGACCGAGGAGACAGTGGGGTCTTTCACGATTTAGGACGCGAGCACTCGGAGTCACTGGACTCCTTGAACTCGACTCTGACTCCTGACCGAGTCACCAATGTCAGCGCGAACCTCTCGGAAGACGGCAATGACTCCATTGCTGTGACACAGAAGGAAAAACCAAGGAAAAAAGTTAAGGGTCAAAATATAAAACAAACCACGGACAAAAATGTTAAGCCCAAGCGCAAAAATGCAACAACAACTACGGGCAAAAATGTAAAAAATCGAGATAAAAAGAAACCGCCGAAAGAACCAGTGGAAGAAAGGAAGGAGATCACGGATGTAAGTTTAAAGAAAATATTCTTGAGCTAAATCCCGGGCCTAATCACAGGTAGTCCACCAAAACTACACACTTTATAATCCACAATCGGGAAGTTTTTTTTTAACTATGTGTCACCATGGGTATATTTTTTAGAGAGCTCCTGTAAACTTTCTAGTATATTCTAATTTAATAGTAAGGATGGGGGGGGGGGGGGGGGGGGGTTAACTTCCAGTGCTACCGAACTATAGAAATATCGAAAGACAGAAGTTTGTGACAAAATCGCTTGTTTTAATTAAAAAAAACTCATAAATGAGAAAAGTTATTTGAACATAGTTTCTGAGAATATGATGTAAAATTCAAGAGGTTTTTTGAGAAATCAATAATAGAGTAAAGTATCCCTACTGTAAATTAGATGACAGAAACCAGAGTTTAAGGTACCTTAAGGCACTCGTTAGCGGGTTTTCAGAAACCAGGAGTGGGGTTAGTATAAAAAGTTAAAAAAAAAACAACTAAAAGTTTGATATGACACTTATGCATGAAAAAAAGCCAACCTAATTAAAACAGAACCGAAGTAATCGTTTACAGACAGACAGACAGACAGACAGTCAGACAGACAGACATACAGACAGGCAGACAGGCAGACAGACAGTCAGACAGACAGACAGACAGACAGACAGACAGACAGACAGACAGACAGACAGACAGACAGACAGACAAACAGACAGACAGACAGACAGACAGACAGACAGACAGAAAGAAAGACAGAAAGACAGAAAGACAGAAAGACAGAAAGACAGAAAGACAGAAAGACAGAAAGACAGAAAGACAGAAAGACAGAAAAACAGAAAGACAGAAAGACAGAAAGACAGACTTACTTGTTTTTGGGGTGATTCTGATTGTGTTATTGGTCTGACTAGTTCAATTAAAGATATAAGTACACCTCATCAACCGTAATATCGATTTTAAGTTTGTTCTTTTTCGTTTCAGATCACAAGGAGACTAAGATCGTTGTATACTAAACCAAAAAAAAGTATGTAATACAAATAAATAATTGTAATAGTTTACCTTGTTCCATGACAAATGATCTCAGGACAAATGATATCAGACACAAAATATCAGACAAAATATCTGAGATCATTTGTCCTGAGATTATTTGTCCTTGAGATCATTTGTCCTGAGATAATTTGTTCATGATATATTTTGTATGGGATATTTTGATCATTCTTCCTGTCGCCATATATATATATATATATATATATATATATATATATATATATATATATATATATATATATATATATATATATATATATATATATATATATATATATATATATATATATTAATAATATAATTAAAAAAAATATATAAAATATAAATTAATTAAGTTCAGTGCGGGCTCAAAATAAATATAAAATAATTTGGTTAAAAAGATTATTAATCTGAATATTTGAAATTGTTCTTTTATCAAATGGGTTCAGTAAAATTGTCCTTTTATCAAATGTGTTCTTTAAAATTGTTCTTTTATCAAATGTGTTCTATAAAACTGTTCTTTTTTCGAATGTGTTCTGTAAAATTGTTCTTTTATCAAATGTGTTCTGTAAAATTGTTCTTTTATCAAATGTGTTCTGTAAAATTGTTCTTTTATCAACTGTGTTCTTTCTGTAAAATTGTTCTTTTATCAAATGTGTTCTGTAAAATTGTTCTTTTATCAAATGTGTTCTCAGTAGAATGTCCATGCGACGACTGGGATCCTCGCATCAAATGGACCTCTGACCCCTCACGTCAAATGGTCAGCGTGGATTTCTGTGACGAAAAGAGAAAAGCAATCGATGACGTGAAAGTCAGGCTCTATCGACAGAATGAGAATACGCGATCTATATTAAATGATACTTTACTGGTAGGTACACCTACATGTTTAGTACGGATATGTCGGTACTGGGGGGAGGGAAGGTGGGAACGGATGTGCGTGTGGTTAAGGTAGGATACTATGTGCGTGTGTTTAAGTTAGGATACTATGTGCGTGTGGTTAGGTTAGTATATTATGTGCGAGTGGTTAGGTTTGGATACTATGTGCGAGTGGTTAGGTTTGGATACTATGTACTAGTGGTTAAGTTAGGATACTTTGTGCGTGTGGTTAGGTTAGGATACTATGTGCGTGTTTTTAAGTTAGGTTACTATGTGCGTGTTTTTAAGTTAGGTTACTATGTGCGTGTGGTTAAGGTAGGATATTATGTGCATGTGGTTAAGTTAGGATACTATGTGCGTGTGGTTAAGCTAGGGTGATATGTGCGTGTGGTTAAGGTAGGGTGATATGTGCGTGTGTATGTATACCTATTTACAGGGCGGGGGCGTGTAAAATGTTTTTCCATTTCCTATTTATATACAATTCACACTGAACGCTTTAGTGATGTCTAAACGTGTGTATTTTCTAGGAGACTCCATCATGCCAGATCAATTTCACTGGTTTGGAAAAAGGTGACTACGTTATAGAGGTAAGTCGCTCTACCGTTGCAAGTTCTTACATGCAATCCTGGCATTACCTTGCCTGAATTAACGTGATTTAAATCCGGTGTATCACCACAGCTGTTTGTTTTCTCCCAACAGTTAAGAGGTGAATGTCTTGGCTGCGAGTTAGTAAACGGTTACCAACACCCCACTCCTTTGATGGAGTTTGGTAAATTCACAGTCAACGGTAAGTTCCCATCTTGACAGTATACACTGGATGTAAAGTTTAGGTGAGAAAATTAGAAGTATAATTAACAATCCGGGGGTGGGGGAGGGGTCAGGGGTGAGGGCAGTTATGCAAAATTTAAAAATTTACTACATATATATATATATATATATATATATATATATATATATATATATATATATATATATATATATATATATATATATATATATATATGTTACGGTCAAAGCCCGAAGTGCAGCCAAAGCCCGCACTGGCCGGGACGTACTGGCCAAAGTCCGAAGCGCTTAAACATGACAGCGTATTTTGTACATTGGCCGGCCCATGCGCACACTGGCCGGGATGTCCTGGCCAATGTCCTATCTCGACTAAGTAGTGATAGCGTTTTTATTAATGTGGGTGCGGTTTCATTGTGATTAACGTACTGTTTGGCACTTGTTTGTAAGTAGTATATTAGGTCACTTTTGGTTAGTATCCGCAGGCGCAGGCGGATGCGCAAAGGATATATAGCAATATACTCGGATGCGCAGGCGCAGCCTGCCGCAGCCTGGCGCAATGAGATATAGTAAAATACTCGGGATGGGGATGCAGATGGGGAAGGGGATGGGGATGCGGATGGGGATGGGGAGGATGCGCAGTGATGCGGATGGGGATTAGGTCAGTAGGTCAGTAGGTCACCACCGGTGACCTTGTGACGTAATCTGTGACCTAGTTACGTAATTTTAATAAGTTTTTAATTAGTTTTAATGACTTTTTAAAATTTTAATTAATTTTTGACCTAGTTACGTAATTTGAATGTGTTTTTAATTAGTTTTAATGAGTTTTTAAAATTGTAATTAATTTTTTTTTTAATTAACGAGTTACGTAATTTGATTGTTTGTTTACTTTTTTAATTGTTTAATTTGTTTGTTTACTTGTTGTTTAATTTAATTACTTTGTTTATATTGTATAATTTTTTATTAACTAGTTACGTAATTTTATTTTAATTTTTTTAATTTTTTTTAATTTTTAAATTTTTAAATTTTTAAATTTTTTAAATTTTAAATTTTTATTGAGTAGTTACGTGATTGGATTTTAATTTTTTAAATTTTTAAATTTTAAATTTTAATTTTAAATTTTAATTGATTTTAATTACTTTGTTTGTATTTTGTTTGTTTATTTTTAATTAGTTTAATTATTATTAACGAGTTACGTAATTGGAGTTTAATTTTTTTAAATTATTACATTTTTAAATTATTATTTCTAATTTTTATTAACTAGTTACGTAATTTGATTATTTGTTTGAAATTCCTTTTATTTCTTTGTTGTATGGTGTTTAAAATAAAAGACTAACACTAGCGTGTACTTTGTATAGGGACCATTCTCCAACACAACGAACGTGTACCGAAAATAGAACATTCATTAAAGATAACGATCAGCCACACCTGTTACTTATCGATCCGCCCGTGAACCTCCCCGGCGCTGCGCGTTTTTTAATGGGAATGTATTGATCGCACCCACTGACCATCAGTATGATGGTCCACCTAATTAAAGTTGGTCACGCATCAGCGATTTACAGCGGTTTACTCGGCGCTGCCCGTTTTCTAATGGTAATGTATTGATCGACTCGCCTCGACACCGTGTAGCCATTAACCATCAGGCGACAGCTGTGCATGAGTTGTGCAACAGCTGGTACCACACTTTCCACTAACGTACAGTCTCATGGGTTTTTAAGTTTCCTGGTACGAGTATGTTAAACGTATACACATTCACACACACACACACACTAAATTAGAACAAAAGTCTTCTTATATTTTATTTGTTTATTAACGTTTTTCCAAGTCATCATAGGCTTTTAAAATATCACGGTGTAAACTTAACAAGTGTTCAATACATATTCGATTATAGTAATATGGGTGAGAGCGGTGAGTAGGCGGGTGAAGGGTGAACAGGTGGTTGAAGGGTGAGCAGGTGGGTGAAGGGTGAAAGGTGGGTGAAGGTGGGGAAGGTGGGTGAAGGGGGAACACGAGTAAGAGTAAAGGATATATAGTAAAAGACTCCACCACCTGAGTGAGGTGGGTGAGGAGGTGGGTGAAGGGTGAGCAGGTGGGTGAAGGGAGAGCAGGTGTGTAAAGGGGGAGCAGGCAGGTAAAGGTTGAGCAGGAGTAGGAGTAAAGGATATATAGTAAAAGACTCCACCAACTGTGTGAGGTGGGTGAGGAGGTGGATGTTAATTTTAATTTTAATTTTTTAAATTTTTCATCATCTGTTAACTTTAAGGTTCTATAACTCTATATATTTAAATACATTTTTTTATTCAACCGAGTTTACTTTCCCTAACGTAAGTACATGTAAAGGGGTTTTTTCTATAGATCTGTAATGAATTAGGCCTTTTTGACTATGACTTGTCCAGACGTTGACATTTTTTTTGAGGTACACGGACACACACACACACACACACACATACACACACACACACACACATTCACACACACACACGAAATTCATACTAGGTCGGTAAAGGCGGAGAGAACTCATAGGTATACATTATCATGATGACAACAAAAGCGACCCTTATTTGATTTACATGAAACAGTGTTTTCCAAAAAGTGTCACCATTCCGTTGTCATTTTCGCAGCTGGGTTTATTTTAACTGCACCCCGTGCGCTCTTGTTTACATTTAAAAATGCGTGTCGCGTATCGTGTTCACGTGTCTTCCCTAATAAAGACACGAGAGGAAAGACAACTGTTCTAAAATTAGAACAGTCTTGTTTACAGCCACGAGTAACGTCCCTTGTTGAAAAAAATTCTCGTCAGAATGCTTAACTAAACATTAAATTTCTTTAACAAGTTAAAAAATAATTTTGGAGACCAACGGTTAACAACATTAAGACACCTCCCTTTTTACTTTCTCGTATATACGAAGTATAGAGAAAGTCTTGTAATCGTGCAAAAAAAAAAATCGAGATTTTTGCAAATCTCGACGTTTTACATCTCACTGATACGGAAAAACATAATTTTGCAATCTTGTCCGTATGTCTGTGTGTCTGTCTGTGTGTCTGTGTGTGTGTGTGTGTGTCCGTGTGTAAACACGATAACTTGAGTACCGTTACAGCTAGGTTGATGAAATTTCATATATAAGTATTTTATCAAAATCGTAGATCCGTATCAACTTTTGAGCGATTTCTGATAACCGGAAGTGGTACTTTTTCTACTTTGAATTTTTCAAAAGCCTGTAACTTGAGTACTATTTCAGATAGATAAATGAAATTTCACATGTAAGTAAAAAATCTAATTCTCTACGTTCTATCAAATTTTGAGTAATTTCCGTTGACCGGAAGTACTTATTTACGCTATTTCCGATTTCTCAAAAAACGCATGTAAATTTATAAAGTACTAATAATATTGCGCACTATTATGTACCTTTATTTAGCGTTCACTTGCTGTGCATTTCTTTTTTCTACGAGATTATATTTTATTTTTAAAAAAATTGAGTATTTAAAATGGATTAAAAATCATGTCTAGAAGTCTATATCCCGAGTTGCCATCCCCCGTAGTGTTATATTAGAATATTCGAGAAAGTTTAGGGGAGATCACTCCCGGTTTATTGTTTTCTGTGACGACAAGGCACAATACACTTTTGTATTTTATGTCTCAAGTAGAGGGGTGGGATATTTTTTCTTTGTAAGCTGGTTGTAAACAAAGGGTAGACGAGGCGATTACTAAGTAAGAGGGGAGATAACCTGGTTTGCATCGCGATATTTGAAATTATGGCGATGTTTAACTATGCTTACAGACCTCAACCAAAAAAAGGCAATGAAACTAGAAGGAAGAGGAATGTATATCTTAGTCTTGCAGCAGATTACCTTCCCATGTTCGTTATCCACTCATTGTATTTTGTTTTTCTATATCCCTCATTGTCATCTTAATTTTTGATCACCTTAGTAAAAAATTGCTTTAGATTATAAACTTCAAGTTTTAAAAAACAACAACGTTATAGTACGTCGTGTCAAATGACACACCGTTTAAAATGTCTACATTTAAATTTCACCAAAATAATGACGTAAAAACTAAGTATGATATGACTCTAAAGTACAAATCAATAATTTTGATTGATTAAGGGGCTGGGTGAGTTATTTTTATTCGGGTGCCCAGGGAAGGTTTAGGATTTGGTTGGGACAGAATGTATACTAGAGTCGGAGGAGTTTTGGTTTCACCGAGGCTGGTTTCGAAGTTGGTACATGCATGTTTTGGAATTTATAGGGGGAGAGTTTATACTAGGGTCGGAGAAGTTTTCACCGAGGCTGGTTTCGAAGTTGGTACATGCATGTTTTGGAATTTATAGGGGGAGAGTTTATACTAGGGTCGGTGAAGTTTTCACCGAGGCAGGTTTCAAAGTTGGTACATGCATGTTTTGGAATTGGTTGGGGTAGAGTTTATACTAGGGTCGGTGAAGTTTTCACCGATGCATGTTTCAAAGTTGGTACATGCATGTTTAGGAATTGGATGGCGTAGAGTTTATACTAGAGTCGGAGGTGTTTTGGTTTCATCGATGCATGTTTCAAAATTGGTACATGCATGTTCTGGGAATTGTTGAGGGTAGATTTTATACTACCGTTGGACGTTTTTTGTTTTAACCTAGACAGGTTTCAAACTCGGTCCATCCATGTTTTGGAGTTGGTTGGGGTAGAGTTTATACTAGAGTCGGAGGAGTTTTCACCGAGGCAGGTTTCGAAGTTGGTACATGGATGTTTTGGAATTGGTGAGGGGAGAGTTTATACTACCGTGGGACGGTTTTTGTTTTCTCCTAGGCAGGTTTCAAACTCGGTCCATCCATGTTTTGGTCCATGCATGGTTTGGAGTTGGTTGGGTGTAGAATTTATACTAGAGTGGGACGGTCTTTGTTTTCAACAAGACGGGTTTCAAAGTTGGGTGTGGATGTTTTTATTTGTATATGGAAAGATTTAAAAGTTGGATGGGAACGTTGTCACTTGTGACAGTAAATGAATACAGATAAATGTTTGTCTGTTACTTTGTCATACGTCCTTTGTCTGTCCAAGGGAATAGTGTGGGTAGAGGTACGGGCTGTTTATCTAGCGGTTATTACTGTGTTTAGGGATGGGGGCGAGGGTTGCGGACAAAATTTTCCAGGGGATATGGCGAATAGTGATAAAAAATAACTCACACAGCCCATGTCTATCCAACCACACCACACGCGTCATCACGTTCAATAGCTACGCCATCGGGTTCAATAGCTGCGCCAACACGTTCAATAGACGCGCAGTGGTTTTTAGTCATGTAACACTATTGTAAATAAAACATGTAAAGTACTGAAAAAAAGTCATAAAAAAACGTTTTAATAACAAGCTTTTATGTACTAATGCACTAAAAAGTAGAAAATAAATTATACACTACTATTTAAATAACTATAAAGAAAAGCGTGGGTGTCTTCCTTAACATTAGTAAAGGTATCCAATAGATACTAAAGTGACCCACGCTTTTCTTAATAGTAATTTAAATAGTAGTGTATAATTTATTTTCTACTTTTTAGTGCATTAGTACATAAAAGCTTGTTATTAAAACGTTTTTTTATGAATTTTTTTTAAAACTTGAAGTTTATAATAAAGAAATGTTTTACTAAGGTGATCAAAAATTAAGATGACAATGAGGGATATAGAAAAACAAAATACAATGAGTGGTAACGAACATGGGAAGGTAATCTGCTGCAAGACTAAGATATACATTCCTCTTCCTTCTAGTTTCATTGCCTTTTTTTGGCTGAGGTCTGTAAGCAAAGTTAAACATCGCCATAATTTCAAATATCGCGATGCAAACCAGGTTCTCTCTCCTCTTACTTAGTAATCGCCTCGTCTACCCTTTGTTTACAACACGCTTACAAAGAAAAAATATCCCACCCCTCTACTTGAGACATAAAATACAAAAGTGTATTGTGCCTTGTCGTCACAGAAAACAAAAAGGGAGGTGTCTTAATGTTGTTAAACGTTGGTCTCCTAAATTATTTTTTAACTTGTTAAAGAAATTGAATGTTTAAGTAAACAAAAATCATGTCTATATTCCGAGTTGCCATCCCAAGTACTGTTATATTAGAATATTCGAGAAAGTTTAGGGGAGATCACTCCCGGTTTATTATCAAATGTGTTCTGCAAATATGTTCTTTTATCAAATGTGTTCTGTAAAATTGTTCTTTTATCAAATGTGTTCTGTAAAATTGTTCTTTTATCAAATGTGTTCTGTAAAATTGTTCTTTTATCAAATGTGTTCTGTAAAATTGTTCTTTTATCAAATGTGTTCTGTAAAATTGTTCTTTTATCAAATGTGTTCTATAAAATTGTTCTTTTATTAAATGTGTTCTGTAAAATTGTTCTTTTATCAAATGTGTTCTGTAAAATTGTCCTTTTATTTAATGTGTTCTCTGTAGAATGTCCATGCGACGACTGGAAGCCTCACATCAATTGGACCCTTGACACCTCAGGTCAAATGGTCAGCGTGGATTTCTGTGACGAAAAGAGGAAAGCAATCGATGGCGTGATAGTCAGGCTCTATCGACGGAATGAGAATACGCGATCTATGTTAAATGTTACTATACTGGTAGGTACACCTACATGTTTAGTACGGATATGCCGGTACTGGAGTGAGGGAAGGTGGGAACGGATGTGCGTGTGGTTTGGTTAGGATACTTTGTGCGTGTGGTTAGGTTAGGATATTATGTGCGAGTGGTTTGGTTAGGATATTATGTGCGTGTGGTTAAGGTAGGATACTATGTGCGTGTGGTTTGGTTTGGATACTATGTGCGTGTGTTTAAGGTAGGATACTATGTGCGTGTGGTTAAGTTAGGATACTATGTGCGTGTGTTTTAGTTAGTTTACTATGTGCGTGTGGTTATGTTAGGATACTATGTGCGTGTTTTTAAGTTAGGTTACTATGTGCGTGTGGTTAAGGTAGGATACTATGTGCGTGTGGTTAAGTTAGGATACTATGTGCGTGTGGTTAAGGTAGGATACTATGTGCGTGTGGTTAAGTTAGGATACTATGTGCGTGTGGTTAAGCTAGAGTGATATGTGCGTGTGTATGTATACGTATTTACAGGGCGGGGGCGTGTAAAATGTTTTTCCATTTCCTATTTATATACAATTTATACTGAACGCTTTAGTGATGTCTAAATGTGTGTATTTTCTAGGAGACTCCATCATGCCAGATCAATTTCACTGGTTTACAGAAAGGTGACTACGTTATAGAGGTAAGTCGCTCTACCGTTGCAAGTTCTTACATGCTATTCTGGTATTACCTTGCCTGAATTAACGTGATTTAAATCCGGTGTATCACCACAGCTGTTTTTTTTTCTCCCAACAGCTGAGAGGTGAATGTCTTGGCTGCGAGTTAGTAAACGGTTACCAACACGCCACTCCTTTGATGCAGTTTGGTAAATTCACAGTCAACGGTAAGTTCCCATCTTGACAGTATACACTGGATGTAAAGTTTAGGTGAGAAAATTAGAGTAATAATTAACAATTATCACAACCAGAGGCGTGGCGGGGGTGGGGGGGGGGGGGCGGACCGCATTGGGATAACACCATTGAGAGGGGTGACGCCTAGACAAAAAATAGCAAAATATATGCAGAATAAAATGATCATTTCAGTTAAATACATGATTTATTACAGTTAACTAGACTTTTGAGAGCAAATTGACAAATCCCATCGGGAGGGGGGGGGGGGGTGGCTAAGGATATAGAAAACAAAACAATACTACATCCAGTGCATTTAAAACCGACTATAGATGAACATGGACAATTACAATTTGCCTCTTATATATTATTTAACTCAAGGTCTTGTTGAAATAAAATTCATTGGAATTTAGTGTATGTCCGTCTAGTTTAGCTTCAAATTTACAACTAGGTGCTTTATTTATGTTCTGTTTTGTTGTTGTTATTTAACTAACCGCAGCTTGTGTGTAATATTTCAGAAACAGAGGATCAAACAATTTTACGTCCACTGCCTGTGTTGGAAGAAAAAGATGGCATAAGTTCCACCATCTTGGTCGGCGTTTTGGGTGCTGTCCTCGCTGTTGTTGTCATTGTTATCACAGGTTGGTAGCCTGACGTTTTGTTGACGTTTTGTTGACGTTTTGTTAACGTTTTAGTGAAGTTTTGTGGACGGTTTGTTAACGTTTTGTTAACGTTTTGTGGACGGTTTGTTAACGTTTTGTTAACGTTTTGTTGACGTTTTATTGACGTTTTGTTGACGTTTTGTTGACGTTTTGTTAACGTTTTAGTGAAGTTTTGTGGACGGTTTGTTAACGTTTTGTTAACGTTTTGTGGACGGTTTGTTAACGTTTTGTTAACGTTTTGTTGACGTTTTATTGACGTTTTGTTGACGTTTTGTTGACGTTTTAATGAAGTTTTGTTGACGTTTTGTTGACGTTTTGTTGAAGTTTTGTTGACGTTTTGTTGACGTTTTGTTGACGTTTTAATGAAGTTTTGTTGACGTTTTGTTGACGTTTTGTTGACGTTTTAATGAAGTTTTGTTGAGGTTTTGTTGACGTTTTAATGAAGTTTTGTTGACGTTTTGTTGACGTTTCGTTGACGTTTTGTTGACGTTTTGTTGACGTTTTGTTCACGTTTTGTTGACGTTTTGTTGACGTTTTGTTGACGTTTTAATGAAGTTTTGTTGACGTTTCGTTGACGTTTTAATGAAGTTTTGTTGACGTTTTAATGAAGTTTTGTTGACGTTTTGTTGACGTTTTGTTGACGTTTTGTTGACGTTTTGTCGACGTTTTATTGACGTTTTAATGGAGTTTTGTTGACGTTTTGTTGACGTTTTGTTGACGTTTTGTTCCCGTTTTGTTCCCGTTTTGTTCCCGTTTTGTTCACGTTTTGTTCCCGTTTTGTTCCCGTTTTGTTCCCGTTTTGTTCCCGTTTTGTTCCCGTTTTGTTCCCGTGTTGTTCACGTTTTGTTCCCGTTTTGTTCCCGTTTTGTTCCCGTTTTGTTCCCGTTTTGTTCACGTTTTGTTCCCGTTTTGTTCCCGTTTTGTTCCCGTTTTGTTCCCGTTTTGTTCACGTTTTGTTCCCGTTTTGTTCCCGTTTTGTTCACGTTTTGTTCCCGTTTTGTTCACGTTTTGTTCACGTTTTGTTCACGTTTTGTTCCCGTTTTGTTCCCGTTTTGTTCACGTTTTTGTTCACGTTTTGTTCCCGTTTTGTTCCCGTTTTGTTCCCGTTTTGTTCACGTTTTGTTCCCGTTTTGTTCACGTTTTTGTTCACGTTTTGTTCCCGTTTTGTTCCCGTTTTGTTCCCGTTTTGTTCCCGTTTTGTTGACGTGAGTCGTGTTTTTTTTTCTTCACTTAGTCCTCTTTACTTTTGGATTTATATTATTAATATTTTTATTGATAGTAGTAATAGTAGTATTGTAGAGGGGAGATAATTCAATAAAGATTAACGTCTTAATGAGTAGTTATTATACGTTACACTCCTCTCCTATTTAAGAAAGATCTCTCCAAAACAAACCATTTACGACAACAACTAATGTTATAACTTTCTTTTTGCAGTTTTGGCTTATAAATTATGTAAGAGGAAGGAATCAACCAGTTCTTCAGGTACAAGGTCACCAGATGAGCAGAGTTTCACCGAGTCACTGATGGGACATGCGGAGGTTTCTGACTGTTGTACACCGAATGTGCCGGATGACAGTCGTGGACTGAACGTGCAGAATGACAGTGCTGACAGCCTGGCTCAGTGTGACAGCTGTGACATCATGTGTGAACGTGACCATGCGGACAGCCGACAAGCAGACCACACTGTCACACCTGTCAGTAGCCGCCATGTCGCACATGGCATTGAGACAGGTCAAAGGTCTCTAACCGACACAGGTAAGGCAGTCTCCAACACGTCACGTTATAAGGTCTCTAACTCACACAGAAGTCTCTTGATGTCTGTGGTTTTAAATAAAGTACGGCAGCGACCAGAGGTTTCCAAACATGTTGTGTTTCCAGCAATGAACTGGGATTGACGTGGCGATCTAGCACAAAATACATTTTTACTGTGTTTACGGAAACGGCATGTACTTATCATGATCTAAGGACTGACTTATTTATACCGGTATACTTCCTAAGTTAGAGGCCTAGATTAATCATTATCTTTTCCCGTAAGATACAAGGGGCAGATAAATCAGAGTTAATCTGTTTCAATACAAGGGGATAGTGCGGACAGCACTAAGCCCCGCCGATTTAGTTTCTCTAACGTCAGTCAGGTACCCATCAGAGCTGGGTGGACCCAGGGATCCGAACGCGAAACTTTCGGGTCAGCTGTCGAGGGCTCTACCATCTAACCACGGTGTTCTCTCTCACATTTTATGTAGCGGTCAAAATGTTCGCTCTACTCTCTCATCAAGTTTCCTATATTGAAATCGCTGACGAACGTGAAAGAAAAGCTAAGGGAGGGAATGCATGAAATTTAATAGCATCTGAGTTTTAAACGAGTTATCTTTCGTTTTAAAAAATATCTCTTCAACAATAACTCAAGAACATAAACATCTTTGTTTATTTATTTATTTATTTATTTTTTATTTACGATTATAAAAAAATGTTTTTAATTTATTTTTCAGGTTTAGCTGTACACAACCTGATGCAGTTACCAAGGACAACGACACACGATCAAAGTTTGGATGGCAAAGTTCCGGTTGAACAGGAACTAAAGGTTTTTCGCTGCACTGACCCTTCGTTGAACGGCAGTTGTATTACACTGAATGTGGCGGATCTGTGTGGTAACTCCACATCTGGCTGTAGCCCTGATGGTACCTCAGATAAAAACCAAAGTCTCACACAGAGCAGTAGTACGTACAATGCACCAGGAAGCCGCATGTACGATGCACCCGGCAGTAGCACGTACTATGCACCAGGCAGCCGCATGTACGATGCACCAGGCAGTAGCACGTACTACGCACCAGGCAGTAGCACGTACAATGCACCAGGCAGACGCATGTACGATGCACATGAAAGTAGCAAGTACAATGCACCAGGAAGGTGCACGAATGATGCACCACGCAGCAGCAGCTACGGTGAAAATGACAGTATGTTAGGTGAGCGGTTTGAGGACTATATCATACGTGACATGAACCAACCCAAGTTCGGGATATTGAGACAGCCGAATGACATGAACCAACCCAAGTTCGGGATATTGAGACAGCCGAATGACATGAACCAACCCAAGTTCGGGATATTGAGACAGCCGAATGCCCAAGTGAAAAACACATTTTCTGTATCGTTACCATACAGACTGTTGGGATTAAACCAGTTCGATACAAACTGTTAGGGTTAAACCAGTTCGATGGAAACTCTTTGGATTAAATCCGTTTGATTCATTCTGCTGGGATGAAGTCAGTTCGATACAAACTGTTTGGATTAAACCAGTTCGATAAATATTGGAAGTGTAATTAGACTGGATGCCCTGACTTATCTAAAACGCGTTTGGTCGATTGGCCGAATAAGTAGTGGTCAGTTGGCCGAATAAGTAGTGGTCAGTTGGCCGAATAAGTAGTGGTCAGTTGGTCGAATAAGTAGTGGTCAGTTGGCTGAGTAAGTAGTGGTCAGTTGGTTGAGTAAGTAGTGGTCAGTTGGTCGAATAAGTAGTGGTCAGTTGGCTGAGTAAGTAGTGGTCAGTTGGCTGAGTAAGTAGTGGTCAGTTGGCTGAGTAAGTAGTGGTCAGTTGGCTGAGTAAGTAGTGGTCAGTTGGCTGAGTAAGTAGTGGTCAGTTGGTCGAATAAGTAGTGGTCAGTTGGCTGAGTAAGTAGTGGTCAGTTGGCTGAGTAAGTAGTGGTCAGTTGGCTGAGTAAGTAGTGGTCAGTTGGTCGAATAAGTAGTGGTCAGTTGGCTGAGTAAGTAGTGGTCAGTTGGCTGAGTAAGTAGTGGTCAGTTGGCTGAGTAAGTAGTGGTCAGTTGGCTGAGTAAGTAGTGGTCAGTTGGCTGAGTAAGTAGTGGTCAGTTGGCTGAGTAAGTAGTGGTCAGTTGGCTGAGTAAGTAGTGGTCAGTTGGCTGAGTAAGTAGTGGTCAGTTGGCTGAGTAAGTAGTGGTCAGTTGGCTGAGTAAGTAGTGGTCAGTTGGCTGAGTAAGTAGTGGTCAGTTGGCTGAGTAAGTAGTGGTCAGTTGGCCGAGTAAGTAGTGGTCAGTTGGCCGAATAAGTAGTGGTCAGTTGGCTGTATATTATTATGTAGTGGTTCTATACGTTTGAGTTGTTATTAGTTGTCATTTAAAGAATGTCTTGGCGTACAGTTGTTGAAACTTGACGTGGTCGAGTCGGTAAAGCTCATGGTTGCTAAACCGAAAAGTCTCGAGTTCGAACCCTCGGGCAGATGAGGCTCGCTAGCTGGGGACAGCCACTCTTCTAGGAGAGACAACTCCAAAATTAAACAACTGCTGCCTTGTAGTTTGTTCTTGGTTGGACAAAGGCTATGGAAGCAAATCCAAAAAGAAAAGCAGGCTGAAATCGGAGTCAATGGCCTCAATGGCGCATAACCAGTTGACACGTAACGCTTAATTGTGTTGGAGGCGTGGTCGAGTCGGCAAAAAGCTCATGGTTGATAAATTCGAACAAAGTCTCGAGTTCAAACCCACTGGCAGATAAATCTCGATCCCCTTCAACACTAATAATTAAGAACGAAGAAGAAGAAGAGACTAATTTGTGACGTCACATGATCCAGTTTCTGAGAATGAAGATAGACATGAATTGTAATAAATTTTTTTGCCCAAATTTATCTTACACCAACATTTCTTTACTACCCACTTTCAGAATCTGTCTGCTCCGTTTGTATAATGTGTATATTCTGGGATTTGCTGGTTCAAATACCCAATTGGTTAATATCTACAATTACATTAAGATCACTTAGCTAATGTAAAATACGATTTACCCGCGTGAAAAAAAGTTTTTTTTTTTTTAAATGTGTGAGTTTATGTCGCTATTGTCTAGCATGATATGTGACATCTTTGAAATATTCCTCATAACATGTATGTGCTGGTTGTAATTGAAAACTTTCCTTTGTGTTCACGAATGTGGTGATTCAATCTTTCATTGAATGCGTGGATCTACGTATGCTAAATGCAAACAACAGAGAATGTTTTACCCAGTGTATATAAACTTACCATGAATACAATGATTGTGTTGACTTGATCAATGTAAACTTTGCTCTTAAGTTTGTTGTTGTTGTTGTTTAGAAATGTAAGCTTAGACAACCCTTGCGTGCTTCATAAAATGTTATTTATAACTCAGCTAGAAACTAGTTATTTCCCTAGACAACGTAGCTCGTTGTCTGACCTTTACAAAGTATAAGGCCTGTATTAGTAATTTTTACATTTTTTTAAATAACTTGGTTATCTCCCTTGTAATGGGTTACTTCCCTTAGTAATCTAGCAGGGATCATAGTAAATTGTGGCTTAATTGTTATGTCAAGGATAAGGTGCAAAGTACGGTCTTTTTTGTTTTATTATGGTCATTTATGTTGGGAGGTGTGTTTATTATGGTCATTTATGTTGGGAGGTGTGTTTATTATGGTCATGTATGCTGGGAAGTGTGTTTATTATGGTCATGTATGATGGGAGGTGTGTTTATTATGGTCATATGTACTTGAAGGTTGTATGTTATGGTTTAAACGTGTGTAAGTTATGTCCATATGTGCTTGAAAGTATGTATTTTATGGTCATATGCTTGAAAGTGTTGAGTGGTAAGGCCATATGTGCGGGTAGGTGAATGTATCAGTCATGTTTCAACTATCAACATCACATTTTAAATATGCTTTATGTACTTACGTATGCCCTTTAATTGTATGACACACGCTTTAATTACTCATCTCATTATCAGTTTTTTTAGACCGTGTCAGCACGTGTTCTTCCTGTGCATAATTAGCTTAATACTAATTATGTTATTGGGAATGACGCGTTTTCAATTTGCTAAAATGTTAATTGTAATCTATTTATTAATAATAAAAACATATCAATGTTCTACTTGTTTTGTTTTCATTGATCTTTAAATAAGAAAGCTGTCAAATGTTTGTGTGTGGTAGGGATTACCCTTCTAAACCTGATGGTCCATGGTGCAAGTGAAGTAGAGTTCACTTCTTTCTGTGACCTCGGCCTATGAAGGACTCGTGTGATCAGCATTATGCCCATTTACCTTTACTTTCCCTAACGTGAGTCAGGTACATGTGTAAGTCATATGTATATACACATTTACAGATGACACATGTGTTTGTGTATATCAGTGATATGTAAGTCATCTATGAATGTGTAAGTTAGATCTGTGTACATCAGATATATGTGTTTTTGTATGGCCACCCAATGTGCAGCTTCAGCCCCGGTAAGGGTCGTGTAACTTGGTGTTGATGACAAGAGGTTCTAAAAACATGAGAATCTCGTCCACAAACTACTAGCATACACCCCAGAGAATCTCACCCCCACCCTACTAGCCCCTACCCCAGAGAATCTCGTCCACAAATTACTAGCACCCACCCAGTAGCGTAGCGAGGGGGGGGGGGCGACATATGTCCCCGGGCGCCAAACTTAGGGGGCGCCAAAATGGGTAGGAAAAATAAATTGAAAGGGGTGCAAATCGAAAGTATGGGGGGGGGGTGCAAATCGAAATCTCGAGGGGGGTGGGGTGCAAATCGAAAGTTTGAGGGGGGGGGGTGCAAATGGAAATCTCGAGGGGGGGGGGGGTTGCAAATCGAAAAGTTTGTCCACGGGCGCCGGGAAGGGTCGCTACGCCCCTGCACCCACCCCAGAGAATCTCGTCCACAAACTACTAGCCCCTACCCCAGAGAATCTCACCCCCCCCCCACCCTACTACTATCACCTACCCCATCTATCCAATTAACTTTCAGCCCCACCCCTCCACACCTGCTTTGTTTACTTGTGAAATCAAGATGGCCGCCCTTTGTTTACTTGTAAGATACAGATCCCCCTCCTGTGTTGATGTCAGAAGAGAAGGTTTAAAAGTAGATAACCTCTACAACATCAAAACTAGAACATAAATTCTGGAATATAACAATTAGATCATAACAACTAGAACACAACAATAAGAATATAACAGTTGGAATAGAACAACAAGAACATAACACTAAGCGCAGTCCGTAGAAAATGTATAATCCTCTCTTGAGCCTAGCTTCAGTAAACCAGGACCCACATATCTAAAGTAAATCTTGTTTTGTTGAGATTATCTTGAATCAGAAATATAAACCTTGCAGCCTGCAATCCGTGGCAATAGGGGGGTGGGGGGGGGGGGGGGGGTAGCATAGCGTTCATTTCAGCAGGGGTTAAGTTGTGAGATTAGTACAAGCAAGCAGCCGTCTCAATGGTCTTAATACGGGGCGTGGCAACAAGCATGTAAAATTTTTATTAGGCGCGCAGATTTCAGGATCAGTAACTCGCGCGAGATAAGAAGGGGAACAAACTGAGTTAAAAAAGAAAAAATCACGTTGATCAAAACGTTGAGTAAATGTGTCCACATTTGTCCCGTGGCCATCGCATGGTCCAATTAAAACTTTCACTTGTCCGTTCATTTCTATAGATATTCACGTTGTAGGTTTGTATCGTTATGTTTTCTGGCTTAAACTTATACACTTTTTGTGTCATTTTGTTTTCAGTTACAGATTTTTTGTGTCATTTTGTTTTCTCTTACAGACTTTTTTTGTTATTTTGTTTTCAGTTGCAGACTTGTTTGCGTCATTTCGTGCTCCTGTGGCGCATTTCAATTCTAAGAAAAGAAAAACAATCACCAACTTCAACTGTCAAAACCTTACCCAATCCAGCACTCAATCATACAATCACACTCCAATCCTACCCTACCACACCCTAGCCCCCACACATCCTGTTATACCCTCCCCCCCTCCCCGACTTCCTGATCCTGGCAGCGAGTGTTATAAAGCGGGCCCAGATCTCTCCCGCCACTCTAGTAGTGTTTCACCCACCGAGTCATCGGCTGGTTGTTTTTACATACAGGGGAGGTAATACAGGGGAGGTAATCAACTCTAATCACGTTCACGGTAAGTTGTCTTACACAATCGATGTTGATTTGGTTAATTAGAATAATTAAAATTATGTATTGGTGGTTTTTTTTTTAATTGAGTGCTAAATTATTTATAAATAAATATATAAATAAAATAAAAAATTAGATGAGTTAATAGATGGTCTGAGTTCAATGCGATGTTCTCTTTTTGTAGCTCTTAAGGATGAATAATTAATTTTATCTACTTTATCGAAATATGTAATTACATAACCTAAATTTGTAAAAATACTTAATAAATATATTTATTTACTCAATAATGATTTTTTTAAAACTACTGCACTACCAAATTCAAATACAATGTATAAAACCAAAACTCAACACTTTAAACATTAAACTACGAAGTACAGATATATTTTTTTATTGTATAAACTTTTACAATGCTAACAATCCTTAGCTCTCGGTCAGTCTTAGACCCTCTCCAATTATGCGTCCGCTGTAAAATTTCGAGAGACGATTTGGTATTATTTCAATCCTTATATATATATATATATATATATATATATATATATATATATATATATATATATATATATATATATATATATATATATATATATATATATATATATATATATGTGTGTGTGTGTGTGTGTATCTATATAAATATATATATATATATATATATATATATGTATGTGGAAGGTACCAACGCCACAATTGATAACAAGGACAAGGTCAAGGCCAAAACTGAACCGAGTTATTATGTAACTGTGATATAAACAAGTTGTTGTGATGAAACTGGTGCAACTAAAATAGAATAGTTTGGCCAAAAAAATAAAATTTTACTCGTAATCATATATATATATATATATATATATATATATATATATATATATATATATATATATATATATATATATATATATATATACATACATGCATGTATACATATTTCCACCTAGTTGAGCTGAGCTGAATTACCTTACACCCCCGTCCGCTCTGAGTTATAAAATCTCTGACGTCACCTGATAAAGATTTAAAATCGTTTTTTTTTTTAATTTAAGAAAGTTCAAAGCTAATCCGATACTTCGCGATGAAAGTCAACTAGATCTATAACCACAAAATATGAAAAGAAATTGTGTACCAAGTGTTGCTCTCTCGTGGATCAATGGAGTCACGTCATCGCGACGACTGATTTCAAACTTGAAAGTGTTTGATCTTTAGAAGTTTCGTATTTTCCCCAAGTATTAAAGCTTTCATTGGTTCACGCTTACTATTCCACTTGATGTGACTTGAACCACAGCACGAGAGCTTAGCTTGTTGCACGGGAGCTTAGCTTGCTGTATCACCTGAAGGTCAGGTAACAGACTTCATGCAACAGCGGGGTTCACTTTTTCTCCACGTAAAGAGCAAACAAACAAACAAACAAACAAAACGATGCGTAGATATAGAGCACTATGTATCGCTAGCAAACGTTTCTACGATGTGTAGCTTCTAACTTAACCATCTAATGCGAGCTTTAACAAAAGTTTATTGCTTCTAACTTTACCATCTAACGCGAGGTTTAACAAAAGTGTATTGCTTCTAACTTAACCATCTAATGCGAGGTTTAATAAAAGTTTATTGCTTCTAACTTAACCATATAATGCGAGGTTTAACAAAAGTATTGCTTCTAACTTTACCCTATTCTGCGAGTTAAAATATCAGTTGTTTTCCCTGCATCACTTATAGACTCACCAAAATGCAGTGTGTTCCTGTCTTAGTGTTGCTGACTGCGGCCTTCATCAAACTCAGCTCACCAAACCACTTACCACAAGACAACAGCACAGAGACCGAGGACTACTACGACTGGTATGAAATGGGTTCAAGTTCCGAGGATCTGTTTCCAAATGGTGTCTGGGTAGATGACGTCATAACTCCAACGAGGAAGAGAACTGAAAGTAAGTTTTTTTTAGACTTCTGCCAGGCGTCTGTTCATAGTCTGCTTCTTACAGAGTTGGTTGGAAGTCTGATAGTGTAACTTCTGACATTTTCTTTTCGTAGATTTTATTTCGAAACAATGTTTAATATATAAACATTCGGTTTAGAAACCCATATTTTAACGCGCTGTTTGAAGGCGACCAGCACTGGTTTGCACTACACACTTTCTGTACATAGGATAGATTCTAAATGTTTTAAAATAAAGTTTTAAAAATTTCTTTGACGAATCCTTTAACTAATGTTTTAGTCAAATCCTCATTGACATAGTGCGTGAAGAAAACATCAGTAGAAGAAGTAATTTGATCACTTTTCTGTGTGCACAACTAACCATGCAGACCGTAAAAAAAAAATAATTCTCAAATACAAGCGAATTTGTATAAAAGTGATTCAAACACGTTGACAATTTTTTATCATTATATTTCCTATGATCAAATAACAATGGCACAAAAAATTAAGGTACTAAAAACTCTCCTCTGAGAGTCCGGTCCGTTTGAATTGATTGATTGGTTACCTGGGTCAATGACTTCAAATGTAAACAACAAACCAGGAAGTGTCTAAGAAACAAGGCTGTGTAGCAATGAATAAATGGTTCATCTTTTATGTACTGAGAGTGCGATCAGGTCGTCAATACCTCTGTCTTAATTAGTGTTTACAATGGCTCGAGTACAATTAGGTCAAGTATGTCTTAATTAGTGTTTACAGAAACTTATGCACAGAGTCTGAAGAACCGCCTTATGGACCCCCAAACTTAAATTTATCTTAAATATTCTAATGTATAATATATATAATATAATATATATAACGTATTTTATATATATATATATATATATATATATATATATATATATATATATATATATATATATATATATATATATATATATATATATATATGTATGTATGTATGTATGTATATATATGTATGTATATCCATATTCCTCTATGCTACGTTCGTCTTTGTTTAAAGCCAGTATGTGTTTGTCTTTACGAGAATTTGAAAGAAGAAACGATAGCCAGTAAAAGTCTGTTGTTCCAGTAAAAGTCTGTTGTTCCAGTAAAAGTCTGTTGTTCCAGTAAAAGTCTGTTGTTCCAGTAAAAGTCTGTTGTTCCAGTAAAAGTCTGTTGTTCCAGTAAAAGTCTGTTGTTCCAGTAAAAGTCTGTTGTTCCAGTAAAAGTCTGTTGCTCCCCTAAAAGTCTGTTGTTCCAGTAAAAGTCTGTTGCTCCCCTAAAAGTCTGTTGTTCCAGTAAAAGTCTGTTGCTCCCCTAAAAGTCTGTTGTTCCAGTAAAAGTCTGTTGCTCCCCTAAAAGTCTGTTGTTCCAGTAACTGTTGCTCCCCTAAAAGTCTGTTGTTCCAGTAAAAGTCTGTTGTTCCAGTAAAAGTCTGTTGTTCCAGTAAAAGTCTGTTGCTCCCCTAAAAGTCTGTTGTTCCAGTAAAAGTCTGTTGTTCCGGTAAAAGTCTGTTGTTTTAGTAAGTCTGTTGCTCCCCTAAAAGTCTGTTGTTCCAGTAAAAGTTTGTTGCTCCCCTAAAAGTCTGATGTTCCAGTAAAAGTCTGTTGTTCCAGTAAAAGTCTGTTGTTCCAGGCTGCCCGTGCCAGAGTTGGAAAACAACCCCCCACCCCCGGGTCGACGCTGAGAACACCGTGCACGTGAATGTGTGTGACGTCAGTATCCGAGAGATCAGGGAACTGAAAGTTGTTTTGGCAGAAGCTAACGGCAAACACGTGTGGCGCCACCTAGTGCTGGTTAGTGCGGCATTACACTTGATTGGTCTTATCTCTCACGTCTGCTGGTGTATCGCTCGTTCTGACGTCACTCCATTTTATTTTGTTTATTCTAACTTCAGTAGATTTTTCCCTCACTCTAACTAAATCATAATATTTTTAGATCATTTATTTTATAGGTATAAATTAAAGCAACGGATGAGATCACTTTAACTTGGCCCTATATTAAAAAAGTGCAATGATAAGTTGGCCCTATATTAAAGAGGTGCAATAATAAGTTGGCCCTATATTAAAGTAGTGCAATGATAAGTTGGCCCTATATTAAAGTAGTGCAATGATAAGTTAGCCCTATATTAAAGTAGTGCAATGATAAGTTAGCCCTATATTGAAGTAGTGCAATGATAAGTTGGCCCTAAATTAAAGTAGTGCAATGATAAGTTGGGCCTATATTAAAGTAGTGCAATGATAAGTTGGCCCTATATTAAAGTAGTGCAAGGATAAGTTGGCCCTATATTAAAGTAGTGCAATGAAGCTGGATTATATTTTTTTACGTTTTCATAAATCAGTTCATCTGTATGTTAAGAGTAAAAATCTCTTTTTTAGTTTGCTTTGAGAATATTAGTTTGCTAAAACAATTTGTAAAACTTTTATAATTAAAAAAATATATTTTTGATGCACTAATAGTAAGAAAATTAACTTTTTTAAAAGGAAAAATAAAAGCGCTTGTGGCCTAAAAGCTTTTACAATGAAGTTTTCGATCAAAGTTTTTATTTTTATAATTTAATTTTTTAATATATTATACATGTTTTGTATTCTACTATTTGGTATTTAGATATTGTAAGATAAAATAATATGTCGAAATTTAAGTTTTAAAAGCAATCAGTACAACATTTGTTTGCTTTAAACCCGATCAACGTCTGCCACTTATTAACGTGTCGTGTGGGGTAAAGTGGAAAGAAAATCACTTGATTGATTAGGAGTGGGTCAAATTAAGTTACAAGAATGGACCACAAACTAACAAACAGACAGTGCGGCCAAAGCAAAATTTAATTTAAATTTAATTATATTTAATTAAATTTACAATTTGATTAAATTTACAACTTAATTGTAATTTAAAAAGTTAGACTAACTTCCTAAAGGTGTAGAATCTTATCCTGGTTAGATGAAGAGTGATCTAGTTTAAATAAATATTGACTCGAAGGGTTCAAATGTTAAGGACATAGGGTGGGAGTGGGGGGTTTAAACGTGTCCTGACTATTAATATGATCTAAAAATACCTTTTTTTTCAGCCTGAATGTGAAGCCACATTTACAAATACGACACCAGGTGAATATAAAATACAGGTGAGAGAATATTTTATACGAGCAGCCATTAAATGATCAATAGCAAGATACCGCTGGTGTAGGTGGTAGAGACCAAAGCTTGAGGTTAGAGTGGTTGTAGTAGCTCAGATTTATAGCACTGTTCGATGTAGGTAATAAATGGATTGACTGCAGCTCAGTGGCGTAGGCAAGCGGAAGGGCGGGGGGGGGGGGGGGGTTAGGGGGATTAAAACCCCTCCCATGGACTCACACCCCTATATATATATATATATATATATATATAGGCCCTATATATATATATATAATATATATATATAAATAAATATATATATATATATATATATATATATATATATATATATATATATATATATATATATATATATATATATATATATATATATATATATATATGATTTTATACATATGGAAAAATATTTGAACCCCTCACATGACCAATTCCTGGCTACGCCGCTGCTGCAGCTAAAATAAAATTTTGACTACAGCAAACGACCATCTCTGACCCACGTGTCTAACTATCTGACAGATCTGGGCACTCTGCCCTGGGCATCTGATGTCCATCGAGGGCACGATCTTTGAATGTTCGTCATCACAGCAGCGGTCAGAGCTGTTCGTCATCACAGGTAGGTTTAGTTCGTCATCACAGGTAGGTTTAGTTCGTCATCACTGGTAGGTTTAGTTCGTCATCACAGGTAGGTTTAGTTCGTCATCACTGGTAGGTTTAGTTCGTCATCACTGGTAGGTTTAGTTCGTCATCGCTGGTAGGTTTAGTTCGTCATCACAGGTAGGTTTAGTTCGTCATCACTGGTAGGTTTAGTTCGTAATCGCTGGTAGGTTTAGTTTGTCATCACAGGTAGGTTTAGTTCGTCATCACTGGTAGGTTTAGTTCGTCATCACAGGTAGGTTTAGTTCGTCATCACAGGTAGGTTTAGTTCGTCATCGTCATTGGTAGGTTTAGTTAAAGGTTCTGATACAACATACTTGTTAAAATTGGTAGGTTTAGTTAGAGGTAGGTTTAGTGTTTAGTTGAAGGTTATAACTGGTAGGTTTAGTTGTTTAGTTGAAGATTATAACTGGTAGGTTTAGTGTTTAGTTGAAGGTTAAAACTGGTAGGTTTAGTGTAGTTGAAGGTTATAACTGGTAGGTTTAGTTGTTTAGTTGAAGATTATAACTGGTAGGTTTAGTGTTTAGCTGAAGGTTAAAACTGGTAGGTTTAGTGTAGTTGAAGGTTAAAACTGGTAGGTTTAGTTGTTTAGTTCAAGGTTAAAACTGGTAGGTTTAATTGAAGGTTAAAACTGGTAGGTTTATTTGAAGGTTATAACTGGTAGGTTTAGTGTTTAGTTGAAGGTTAGAGATGGACTAAGACGGGTTAGTGAGAGAGGTTTAACATAGAAGTGGTTTAGCACCATAGGTTTAACTAGAGAGAATGAACAAGAGTGTGTTAACTGAACCACTACCAGAGACAGCAAGCCAGTACCTCACCTTGTTGAGTGCATTCAATTATACTGAGTAGCAAAAACAATCAGCCCTATCTATCAGTCTGTCGTCTACCCACCGTATGTTTAAGTCATAATGTTAAGTTGTTGTTTTTGTGTTGTCCTCGTTCTTGCATTCACGATGTGTAATCTCATCCCCCCCCCCTACCCATACGCATCCTCTCATTAAAATGTGTTTTCCCTCGACCCCCACAGGGGCAGAGAACTCAAGTGTGTCTGTGCCGTTGCTAGGGAGACAACAAGATGGCCTCTTTCTGATCATCACAGTGGCGGCCCTTGTTGTAACTCTTGTCTTCATTCTTCTCGTAGCTGGTATAGTGTGGTGGATAAGGAGAAACCGTAAGTTCCCTACTCGCAGTAATTTAAAAAAAAAACAACGTTTAGATTAAAAAGAAGTAGTGCACATCTTGTAAGCTATATCAAAATGTAATCAAGTTAACTTTAAAACAGATTCACGGGGATTTTCAAATGTTTTAAATTTATCCACAGCGCGCACTTTACCATCTACCTCCCATTCGGCGTCATCATCAAATCTTCTCTGCGAGAAAAAAGTTCGTTCAAGTTCAGATAACTCTGAAATTTTTCGTCTCAGCTCCGATAACTCTGACATATTTCGCCCCAGCTCAGTCAAATCTGGCATATTTCGGCCAAGTTCACAAAAATCTGGAAAATATCGTCCAAGTTCCGATAACTCTGGTGTGTTTCTAAGCTGCAGTAGGAGTAGCACACGAACGGTTGAAGCGGCTGGCGGTGGGCACCGTGTTGGTCTGAGTTGTAAACAACCGCTGATGTTGGATGAGCAGTGTTCACTTCAATGTAGTACTTACACTATTGATGATTCGGGGAATGATGTGTAACTTATGGAGATGGATGGGCTGGTGATATACATGATATACAGCAGGCTGAGTTATATACGGCACGCTTAGCGATATACGACAGGCTTAGCGATATACGACACGCTTAGCGATATACGACAGGCTTAGCTATATACGACACGCTTAGCGATATACGACAGGCTTAGCGATATACGGCAGGCTTAGCGATATAAGGCAGGCCATGCCATATAAAGCAGGCTCAGTGAGACATGGATTGCTTGATGAGATAAACTGAAGACTTTTTTTAATCAATGGCGGCTAATTAATCAAGCAAGTACCCAATAGTCGACTGACGACAGAACCAAACTAGGTTTTTGGGTGGGGGAAAAACCCAACTATTATACATTTGATCCCTTTCCCAAAAGATAATTAACATGATTGGGTTTCTTATAAAACCCTACAGGAAAAATGCAAGACAAATTGGGCTTTAAGATTTAGTGGGATTTAGAATGTATTTGGTAAATAAAACCATAAACGTTTTAACCAAAAACATTACATTTTAGATCCGATGTGGGTGGGGAGACCTTAGATGAAGGACAGTCCAGTCCGTGTCCAGTGGACATTTGTTGTCAACACACGTAGTGGACATTTTGTCAACACGTAGTGGACATTTGTTAACACACACACGGACACGTCCTTACAGGTAGCCCAGTGTGTCGCCCAACAAGCGCATTACCAAACACGATATAAGATAAATGTCAAACGGACATTAAATTGGGGGGGGGGGAGCTGTAGACCAGTACAGTGGACATTAAAACATAGAGCAGTCCTGTTGATAACTTGGGGGGTGGGCTATAGACAAGGACAGGCCGTGTCCAGTAGACATTAAAACATAGAGCAGTCCTGTTGATAACTTGGGGGTAGGCTATAGACAAGGACAGGCCGTGTAGACATTAAAACATAGAGCAGTCCTGTTGATAACTTGGGGGTAGGCTATAGACAAGGACAGGCCGTGTAGACATTAAAACATAGAGCAGTCCTGTTGATAACTTGGGGGTAGGCTATAGACAAGGACAGGCCGTGTAGACATTAAAACATAGAGCAGTCCTGTTGATAACTTGCGGGGTGGGCTATAGACAAGGACAGGCCGTGTCCAGTAGACATTAAAACATAGAGCAGTCCTGTTGATAACTTGGGGGGTGGGCTATAGACAAGGACAGGCCGTGTCCAGTAGACATTAAAACATAGAGCAGTCCTGTTGATAACTTGGGGGGGGGGGGCTATAGACAAGGACAGGCCGTGTCCAGTAGACATTAAAACATAGAGCAGTCCTGTTGATAACTTGCGGGGTGGGCTATAGACAAGGACAGGCCGTGTCCAGTAGACATTAAAACATAGAGCAGTCCTGTTGATAACTTGGGGGGGGGGGGGGGCTATAGACAAGGACAGGCCGTGTCCAGTAGACATTAAAACATAGAGCAGTCCTGTTGATAACTTGGGGGGGGGGGGGGTGGGCTATAGACAAGGACAGGCCGTGTCAAGTAGACATTAAAACATAGCAAACTTGTGGGGAAACTTAAGCCTGAGGAAATGCAACAAAGGGTGGATCAAGTTTGTTATTGAAAACGCCGGCACTTTGAATAAAAACATCATGAGTGACGCTAAAATTGAAGGGACACCGAAATAGTGACGCCAACATTGTAAGAACACTTTAGTGACGCCTACATTATAGGGTCACAAGGTAGTGTGACGCCAACGTTGTATGGACACCTATCATCATGATTTTTTCTGTCAAAGTACTAGTTGGTTCATGAGTTTTTTTAACGAAGCTTCTATGTATCGTTACATTTAATTTTTTAAATCCATTTCTTTGTGTTCAAAATAAAAATAATAAATTTTTATTTGATCTTGTTCTTTTGTTTTATAGGCGATAATCTGAGTTATACGCGTTGTCTAGCTATAAAGTAATATTATAAACTATCCTTCTTTGTATAGACTGATATATCTACCACTCTCTGTGTTGACTGATATATCTATCACGCTCTGTGTTTACTGTTATATTTATCACTCTCTTTGTTGCCTGATATATCTATCACTCTCTGTGTTTACTGTTATATTTATCACTCTCTGTGTTGCCTGATATATCTATCACTGTTGACTAATATATCTACCACGCTCTGTGTTGACTTTTATATCTGTCACTGTGTTGACTGTTATATCTATCACGCTCTGTGTTGACTTTTATATCTGTCACTGTGTTGACTGTTATATTTATCACGCTCTGTGTTGACTTTTATATCTGTCACTGTGTTGACTGTTATATCTACCACGCTCTGTGTTGACTTTTGTATCTGTCACTGTGTTGACTGTTATATCTACCACGCTCTGTGTTGACTTTTATATCTGTCACTGTGTTGACTGTTATATCTATCACGCTCTGTGTTGACTTTTATATCTGTCACTGTGTTGACTGTTATATTTATCACGCTCTGTGTTGACTTTTATATCTGTCACTGTGTTGACTGTTATATCTATCACGCTCTGTGTTGACTTTTATATCTGTCACTGTGTTGACTGTTATATCTATCACGCTCTGTGTTGACTGTTATATCTACCACGCTCTGTGCTGACTGTTATATCTATCACGCTCTGTGTTAAGACTCCAGAGAAGGAAGTTTTGATATCTCACCTATCAGCCCACTCCGATCAGGAAGTGAAACAGCTGTATACAGTATTTGAATGATATATCCATATTCTCAAAACTGTCTGAAGTAGGTTCTTAAACTGTCTCAATTAGGTTCTCAAACTGTCTAAAGTAGGTTCTCAAACTGTCTAAAGTAGGTTCTCAAACTGTCTAAAGTAGGTTCTCAAACTGTCTAAAGTAGATTCTCAAACTATCTAAAGTAGGTTCTCAAACTGTCTAAAGTAGGTTCTCAAAGTCGGTTCTCAAAGTAGGTTCTCAAACTGTCTAAAGTTGGTTCTCAAAGTAGGTTCTCAAACTGTCTAAAGTAGGTTCTCAAACTGTCTAAAGTAGGTTCTCAAACTGTCTAAAGTAGGTTCTCAAACTGTCTAAAGTAGGTTCTCAAGCTGTCTAAAGTAGGTTCTCAAACTCAGCATCAGGACTGCTAAGGTATACAAGGTGGTTATCAAATGGGCGTTACCCAGGCATGGGACATCATATGGGCGTTACCCGGGCATGTGACATCATATGGGCGTTACCCGGGCATGTGACATCATATGGGCGTTACCCGGGCATGTGACATCATATGGGCGTTACCCGGGCATGTGACATCATATGGGCGTTACCCGGGCATGTGACATCATATGGGCGTTACCCGGGCATGTGACATCATATGGGCGTTAACTTCTCATGTGAGACAAAATGGGCGCTACATGGGCTTGTGACATCAAATATGCTTCTATCGGGTTTGTAAGAAGAACTATTCACCAACTCCAGGAACCCAACTACGCCGTTGCTCGCATTGTTTGAAAGGGCGTTAACTGCAACGTCACTTTTATCGGATTGTTGCGCAAACGGAAAAGAAAACACGAAGTTTTTTCTTCAGATGCAGTCATGCGCGTGCGAATTGCGTTATCAAATGATCAACTTTATGTACTGCAATGGGTTGGTTTAAAAGTTCAACCGGATACGGCGTTCGAGTCAATAATTTGTTTTATTTTTTTTTTAATTTTTTTTTTTTTTTTTTTTTTTTTTTTTTTTTTTGCGTTTTACGGTTACCTTGTGTAATTTGATTTCACAGTTTTGATGATTTCTTCGCTTCAGTAACTCCATTGAGCATAGCAAGCTATTGAAGATCTGCTACCGATCTCCTTACAGATAGATACTGAAAGAAGCTTTTATTGACTCGAGTATGGCTATATATCCCGCAGTATTTGATCCTTAGCCAGCGGTATAAAACCTTTACCACAAGCCAGCGGTATAAAAACATCAGCACAAGAACAGTAACTTCCTTGTTCCTGCTTTAGGCCGCGACGCTCATTTTATAAACAACCCCCCCCCCCCAGTACCCAACAATCTAATGCACACATCCTTCAACCTGCCACTATATAGAGACAATGCAGGTGGTGGGTGGGTGGGTGGGTGGGTGAGAGGGGGAAGAAGGATGTAGTCGTCTTATTTTTATTTCGTGTTTTACATTTTGAGATTATCCATGTTTGAGATTATCCATGTTTGAGATTATCCATGTTTTTGCCGTCACAAAGTCCGACCAAGAAATGTGTAGTTCACTTTACCCATTCTTTTGTTGTTTTGTTTACTTTAAATAGCAAATTAGCGTTTAGCAGACTTTAGAAAGCTGGCCATTAGAATGTTGATTGATTGATGGATATATATATATATATATATATATATATATATATATATATATATATATATATATATATATATATATATATAATATATATATATATGTGTGTGTGTGTGTATATTAATATATATATATATATATATATATATATATATATATATATATATATATATATATATATATATATATATATATATATATATAATCATCTTCTGTTAGCTAAGGTCGCTACTAAATGGAAACTACTCTATGATCCGCCAACACTGACTCGTGTTGTGATTAAATATTTACACTCAAAGCATTTCTTCGAATCGGTCGCGAGATTTTTAGAAAACTCAAATTCTTTGATAAAGCCTTGTGAGATCTAGAGAACAATTTGACCGACAGCAGGGGCAGTGACTCGAGTGGATGAGAAACGAAATCTTGTGTACCTGGGCTAGTCGCTCGTGTTTTAACTTCCTTCATTGCTGGTTAGAGGTTGTGTATACGTGAGGGTGTGGGGTGTGTATGCGTGTTTTGGTTTTGTGTGTATGTTGTGTGTGGTGTATGCGTGTTTGATTTCGTTGTGTGTGTTGTATGTGTGCATTTGTGTTTTCGTTGTATGTGGTGTTTGTGTGTGTGTCTGTGTGTTTCTGTATGTGTGTGATATATATGTGTTTGTTTTTTTCGCTAAGAATGGGCAGGAGTGTAGTGGACTGTGTTCGGGAATTAAAAAACATTATAAACGTAGGGTTTAGTCGAGAAAAAAAAATTTTCTCTTAGTATCCCAAAATATTTACCCCTCCCTCTTCCTAACCCTTCCCGCTCCCTCCCCTTCCCTTCCCTGTCCCTCCCCTTCCCTGTCCCTCCCCTTCCCGGTCCCTCCCCTCCCCTTCCCTTCCCGGTCCCTCCCCTCCCCTTCCCTCCCTCCCCACCCCTTCCCGGTCCCTCCCCTCCCCTTCCCTTCCCGGTCGCTCCCCTCCCCTTCCCTTCCCGGTCGCTCCCCTCCCCTTCCCGGTCCCTCCCCTCCCCTTCCCTTCCCGCTCCCTCTCCTCCCCTCCCCTTCCCGCTCCCTCCCCTCCCCTCCCCTCCCCTTCCCGCTCCCTCCCCTCCCCTTCCCTTCCCGCTCCCTCCCCCATCCCCTCCCCTTCCCTTCCCGCTCCCTCCCCCATCCCCTTCCCTTCCCGCTCCCTCCCCCATCCCCTCCCCTCCCGCTCCCTCCCTTCCCCTTCATTTCCCTTCCCGCTCCCTCCCCTCCCCTCCCCTTCCCGCTCCCTCCCCTTCCCCTCCTCTCCCGCTCCCTCCCCTTCCCCTCCTCTCCCGCTCCCTCCCCTTCCCCTCCTCTCCCGCTCCCTCCCCTTCCCCTCCTCTCCCGCTCCCTCCCCTTCCCCTCCTCTCCCGCTCCCTCCCCTTCCCCTCCTCTCCCGCTCCCTCCCCTTCCCCTCCTCTCCCGCTCCCTCCCCTTCCCCTCCTCTCCCGCTCCCTCCCCTTCCCCTCCTCTCCCGCTCCGTCCCCTTCCCTTACCTTCCCTCCCCTTCCCTTCCCTTACCTTCCCTCCCCTTCCCTTCCCTTACCTTCCCTCCCCTTCCCTTCCCGCTCCCTCCCCTCCCCTTCCCTTCCCGCTCCCTCCCCTCCCCTTCCCTTCCCGCTCCCTCCCCTCCCCTTCCCTTCCCGCTCCCTCCCCTCCCCTTCCCTTCCCGCTCCCTCCCCTCCCCTCCCCTTCCCGCTCCCTCCCCTCCCCTCCCCTCCCCTTCCCGCTCCCTCCCCTCCCC